GACTACATCTCAGGTTTGCATAACTGTCTCGAATTCTCCCAACCCTCCTCTTGTTTAGATGAGGCTAAGTAAACACGGAAAAAGTGCTCTATTGCTTAATTCAGTCTGTATTCTGCACAATCCTATTGCATGACCTAAGCACAATTTCACACAGGGATACCTCTTATTCCAGAGTCCAGTGACCATTAGACTAGCAGACCCCTGATGACAGTAGCTTGGCAAAACATTAATTATCAATTTTATTGTTTACAGCAAATGCAAAAACTGTAAATTATCTAATTGCTGCTGATGGAAATCCATGGGTTTGGGTGTTGGGAGAAGATGAAGATGACAAACAAGACTTTTATGAAGTGTTGAAGAGTAAGTGTGTTGCCGCAATGTGTTTGAGGGGTATTGAATGGTCCCATTTAATTTAAATTGCTTGTAAAATTTGGAGCTTTGCTCCAATTGCTCCCAAAGCTTACAGTAGATGAGTGCTCACTTGCTGGTGCTCACAAAATTTTTGCAACTGCTCGCATGCTTGAATTCTCTTTAAAATGTGCTTGATTGTTTGAAATGTCATGAATCCTGCTCCAAAGTGTGATAACTTTAAGCTTCTTCACGTGTTGTGTTCACAGCGTCGGGTTAGAAAGCTTTAGATCTCCTTGAGCGTCCACCCACTGACTCACGTTAAGCTGTGTACATGACTTAATGTGGCATCAAACAAGGCATAATTGGTTTTAGGCTTGGGATTGGTTGAACCACGATACGATCTCAATGTGTTGCTTAGCTTTGCGCCTATTCCCCTGTTTTGGAGGTGTCAGTCAGATTCCTTGACGCAAAACTGTGTTTCCTTTTCTGAAACAAAAGAGGGATTCCGCTGCTTGCCATCTGTATTTTCTAAAGAGCTCACTGCTTGCAAGACAAATTTGATCACTGCTTGTGCTTGCAAAAATAAACACACTGCTCGTCTGCTCATCTGCTTGCAAAAACCATTCAATACCCTTTTTTTGGTACATGTGTGACTGTTATTGTATTGCTCGTAGGTGCATTACTAGACAGTGAAATTTGTGTTGTGGGCTGTCTGTTTTTGTCAGTGTTTCTGTTTCATCCTTCAAAAGAAGGAGGCCATATTCCTGTTTGGATTGTCTTGGAGTAGGTGGTGAATTTTGTCAAGAACTGTGTCATAGAAGAATTCCCTCTCCACACCATGTTATGTCAACTTAAAACAAGTATTTCATTGTAACTAGTATGTACTGATAATGATTTTATAGAGAGGAAAGAGTTAGAGGCTGAGGCAGAAGATGAAAAGAAAGCAAAAGAACTTGCTCATAAAGAGATTGAAGAGATGAAGAGGAAGGAACTTGAAAGGTTGGAAGAAGAAAGACAATGGAAAGAAGAGCAGGAGAGGTTAGCAAGGGAGGCCGCAGCCAGGGAAGCTGAAAAGAAAAGGCTTGAAGAGGTAAGAAAAAAAATAGCTATTTGAAATATAAATGACTTTCAGCTTAATATCATGTTGAGCTTTGTGCTTTAATTACACTAATTAAATAATAGCTTGAAGTTGGATAAGTAAAGCATATGATAAAGGCCATTTTTATTAAAACTTGGTTCACCAGGGATGCAAGTAGAGCAATACCAACCTATACCTATATCTCTCCATACCTTGAGGCTTTGGTATTCTCCTTCCATCCACAAAGATTTGACCAGATTTGCTGCTAGAGCTGGGACAGTCATAACTTGTGTCACTGCTGCTCTTTCTTTTTGGTGAGGGACGGCTGTGGCACAGGTTATGACAGACGCCCATGACTACCACCCAGCTGTGTGCCTTTCGTCCTCAATTATTCTCTTTCATACTGTTTTGGGTGACCTCGTCTTGGTCTCCCCCCTGGCCTGCTCTCCTTCAATGCTCTAACACAGTGTTTCTCTCTGTCTTTCACCATTATGTGTTAGGGATGGCGATGTAAAATTATTTTTTGCTTGAAATTGGGGGGACTAAAGTCCCCCAGCCTCACCCCCCCCCCCCGCCCCCCGTGGCTCCACTATCCCTGTGTGTCCAATCCAGTGCCATCTTTGACATTTGATCTCATCACCTGGAGTAGAGCATTATTAATAGCATATGCAGAAAGAATTTATTTTTTTCATAAGTCTTTATTATTTTAATGAAAAGACAAGAAGAGCTTGAGAATAAGCTCCAGAAGAATGAACAGTTTTTCCCTTTATCTCTTTTTCATTTTTATTTGAAAATTAGCAATTGCAGCCATACTCTGTATCTTCAATAGTACTCTTTTTCAATGGAAAACTGTTCACAGGAAACACAAACTTACAGCTCTGTTTACCCGCTGGAACAAGCTTAATTTAACATATTAATTGCAGGAAGCAAAGATTGCTGCACAAAAAGCAGAAGAGTTGAGGAAAGAGGAAGAAAGGAAACGTCAAGAAGAGGAGAGAAAGAAACGAGAAGAGGAACAACGTAGAAAGCAAGAGGAAAGACGGAAACAGGAGGAAGAAAGGAAGCGACGCGAGGAAGAGGAAAGAAGAAAGGAAGCTGAGCTAAGAGAGAAACGAAAGGCAGTTGAAGAGAAACGAAAAGCTGAAGAAGAAAAGAGAAGGTTAGAATTAGAGAAGAGAAGGGAAGTAGAAGAACTTGCTAGAAAGAAAGCTGAAGAGGCTCAGAGAAAAGCTGAAGAGGAAAGAAAAGCAAGGGAGAAGGCCTTAGAGGAGTCACGAAGAAAGAAACTTGAACAGGTGACCTCACATCGTGTTTTTTTCGGTTTTTTTATTATTAGGGAGCTTCACAATCTAATAAGTTATTTAACAGTGCTAGGTCTTGCAACTTCTATGATTCATGCAGTCAATCACAAACTGTTTTTATATAGTAATATTGAAGTCAACAGTACAAACAGACTCAGAAAAACAAACAAATTATACATCTAAAACAAGAGTAAAAGCAGCCTTTTAAAGTTTCTTATTTAATAGTAAAACGTTGATGTCTAACCTGCCTTTCAGTTTCACTTAGTTTGTCTATTGTCACGGTAGTGGTTATGAGAAGTTTTCTGTGTATTATGATTATCAACTGTCAGTGTTCTATGAAGGGAGAGTTGGTTATCACAGTCCCACCCCTATTAAACGGCCACCCTCGGTCAAATGGCTAGTGGTCACTTAAAGGAGGCTGGCCGCGTAATAGAGATTAAAACAATAGAAAAGCCCTCATTGGGACTTTGGTTACTGACCGCCTACTAGGGGAGGGCGTTTAATGGGAGGCCCCTTAATAGGGATTTGACTATGATTAAAACGTGTATTTATAGGAAGCGCTTGAAAAAGCTCGTCAACTGGAAGAAGAGAAGCGAAGAGTGGAAGAACAGCAAAAAGAAGCAGAGAGGAAGCAAAGAGAGGTGATAGCTCGTCTACAGCAAAGGAAAGCAGAAAAAGAGCGTAGAGAGAAAGAACTATTGGAAAGTGAAACTAAACGAGCGCAAGAAATTTACGTTAGCTTGAGGAAGGTGCGCGAAGCGCTTAAAAAGAAAGAAGAAGACGAAATGAAAAAAGAGGATGAAGCCTGGAGACAACAGGAACTAAAGGCTCAAGAGGAGGAACAACGAAGACGAAGCTCTGTCAGCTTAGCGCGGAGAGAGGTAATAAGAGAACGAGAAGAGGCTAAGAGGTTAAGCATGGTAGAGGGTCCAAGGAGATCATTCAGTGTTAAACCACAGAGGCCGCCTCCTCCTGTGCCTGCTAGGTGAGTAGAAACAGATAAAGGAATCCTGGTTTTATTGGCGCTTATCATAAGTTATACCTTTGTGTCGTTACTGCTTTCTTCAGGGTTCAAACCTGCACACCATCTTGCGAATCATCGTAAATATAAGAGTTTGTAGAGATATATATATAGGATGTTTTCAGCAGTTAGAAACACTGACAAAGAATACTGAAAACGACTATTTTCCCCTTCTTTTGGTATTATAAAGCGGTTCTAGCGAGTTTTAGCTTGAATGTATTCCTCCGGCTCTATATGTAGATCATAAACGCTCGTGCAATAAGCTTGGCATATCTAATGTATTACTGTACCGTGTTCAACCAGCAGACCAGGAGATAACAAGCCTGCGCTTCCTGCCAGACCCCCGCCTCCCAGCAACAGAATCTCAATGCCCCCAGCAGTCGCAGCGGCCCCAGCGGCCCCACTAAGACCGAAAAGGAGTGTAAAACCCAAGAACAAAAGAAACGTGATCGAGTGGTTTCAACAGGAAGAACTTGTTAAGAGAATCTGCTACGATGGTGATAAGATACTACCTTATTTTCATGGTAAGGACAAAAAACAACTAAAACAAGTGCAGACAATATGTACATGAAGTAGGATGCAGCACTTTCCAGCAGTCGATAACTTGATACTAAAAACTTAATCAGGCCAGGCGTATATAGCGATTGTAAGTGAAACAAAAAGAGTTGCTTTAGACAACATTTATCTTACCTTTACCTGTTTTTTTAGGGTAAATGTAAACATCAATGGTTGTTGAGCCAGTCGTGTAAGAATTGTCTATTGACGTTATTCCAGAGAAATGTTCTGCTCTTGCTCTCTTTCTCTCTTGCTTCGCTATTTTTCTGGACGCTCCTGTTGCAGTGTTTATCCGCGCTTTTGAACGACATGTGCTGATTGTAGCCTTTGGATGTATTGTTCAAGGGTTGAAACCTAGTGTCTATTATAGAGAGAAAGTGTGCAGCCATGGAGGTTTAATCGAATTGTGGCGTAAAGCGTTGAAAGCTTTGTTACTACGTTTCTTCCTCTCGTCCTACCCTCCTGGTTTATCTGTGAACTTTTGCGTCTTGAACTCGTATTTTATTCGTAGTCCTTACCTGCTGCCATAAGTGAGTTGAATTTGTTGTTGGTTCTGGTCTCTGTTCCAATGGTTTTTCTCCAGGTACGGTTTTCTCCCCTCCACGAAAACCAGCATGTCCAAATACTAGTTCGACTTGGTTAGTGGACCCGCTTGAAAACCAGCTAGGGCTGATGTGGCTTCGCCTTTAAATATTGTTATTTAATTATTTTTAATTTATTTATTTGTTATTTATTTGGTATCTGCACGAAATGAACCAGTCATCCATCTGTTTTGTTTCAGGAATCATCTCTCGGCAAGATGCTGAGAACTTACTTGTTAACAAGCCTCCAGGTTCGTTTTTGGTCCGTGTCAGTGAAAGGGTCTGGGGATACACCATCACTTACCGTGCCCCGGAGCGCTGCAAGCATTATCTTGTAGACACCAGCGAGAACACTTATCAGTTTTTTGGCCACAATCAGATCGCACACGAAACTCTGAAAGATTTAGTGGAATTTCATAAAATTAGGCCAATCACTGGAGTCGGCCAAGAACTTTTAAAACTTCCCTGTGGTCAAGATAGCGAGCCACCAGATTACCAAGAGCTTTTGACATCTGTAGATAATCCAGAGTCTTTCTCGACGAAACTTTAATGATCACTAGTGCCGAGGATTTCTGTGAAAACTGTAAGAAGACATCGTACAACCGTATAATGTCTTTATTTAGAGATAAAATAACGATGAACGACCGACCGATGGTAGTATTGTCGAATTCTGATTCCACCGGGGCATCCTGATATGTTTTGCATTTTACCCCTAGGTCACTGTTGAGCTGACTTTTACTGCGTAAAGTTAATGCCGTTCAGTTTAACGTACGTAGCGAGGGTAGAACGTTTTCTTGTGTTCCGTTGCAGTTAAAACCTAGGGAAGCAAAAAGAACAAGAAAAAAATTGCGTTTTTGTTTCAGTAGCTTCTTTGTTCTTAGTTGGATCCGCTGGATAAACCTTTTCACACCGGCACCTTTGTTAAGTTTGCTGTGAGCTTGGAACTCAATCTCCGAAGACATTTCGACTTCACTCCCAGTTGGTCGGTCATTCATATTTGAATTGTGACTTAGTAAACTATTGTTAAGAAACTATTGCTTTATTTTGAATCTCCCGCGATAGACTTGTGTCCAACAAACACTTTAAGTGTACTGTAACTCTTATCACAATTATCGACTAAAGTTTTGAAAAGAAATCAAATTACTATAATATAGCCAGAGTATAGCATTGATAAATTAATAAATATTAATGTCCTCATATTTTGGTTAGCACAGAGAAACAAATTATCTGTAAGATTTTTTCAGAAGACAATTTCAGCATGATCTGGACTAAAACAAAATTGCCAGTAACGTAGTTTTAGCAGCTAAGACGAAGAGCGTGTTTGCATCCATTCCACTGACTCTGTTGAGTTCCAAGCATCTTAACTGATTGAGAGTTTAATTAGATGATTATCTCCATTCTCCACAACTTATGCTTCACAGTGTATCGATATTATAAGAGAAATTAGATTTTGATTAGTCCTGGGAATTAAATCAGCAATAAATGAAACATTTTTTCAGTGGTGAGGTGCACATTTCTTTGCCCCTCTGGTTCGGGGTGGGAGACAGGCGTGGACTTAGGGTGGAGGTAAACTGCTCGTTAGGCATGTTCCTGTAGAGTCCTCGAGCATTAACCCTCGCATTTACCCAGTAATGCCGAAACAAATTGGGAGGGGGTAGGTGTGGACTGAGGGTGGAGGTAAACTGCTCGTTAGGCCATCCTCCCGCTCGTAGAGTCCGACGAATATTTACCCTCGCATTTATCCAGAAAAGCCAAAAAAAATCAACGCTTTTTTAGCTTATTGTCATGGGCGTACGGGGACCTTCGGACTTGGCGGGGGGGGGGGGGGGGGGGGGGG